AAACGAAACAATACGAGAAATAGTTCTATATTACGACAACACGATACACTACAGATTATTAACAAATTAACGAGACACAAAACAAACGACTAACAAATATATGAAAATACAATAATGAGAGAAACGCGCGATCAGTACGAGGCTTTGTGGCGGACTGCCGGCGCAGCAGCCCGGCGTCACCTGCGATAACGCATTTCGTGTGACATGCGCAATCAGGCGCATAACGCATTTCGTGTGACATGCTAGTACGATTTTGGTCCCCATAATTTTCATACCCCGGGCCTATATATGTAAATCGATTCTAAAGGAGTAAACTCCAATAATACTCAACAATATTTAAAATAAAATGAGCCAAGAACGTTTATCGATAAAACCTGATAACATTGAAATCTTTTGTACAGCACTAAAGCCGCCATGTTTTGTGGCCAGATGACGTCACAGTGGCACGAAATTTTGGTTGACGTTTCATTTCCATAGGTTTCCTACTTCATTGGGTCGGGCGGTCTCACAACACGTGCTATCTCTCTCTTGTAGGAGCGCAGCGCTGACGTTCCCCATGGTGGGCGGAGCGGTGGTCCGCGGCGCAGAGTACGGCGCCTTCGTGGTGCAGCTGCTGCGCTGGTGGCGCGACCGCGGCGCCCCCCCGCCCTCCCTGCCCGCGCCGCCCCCGCCCGCAGTAAGCAACACCCTGCAGTCCACACAACGATCTATGTCGCTGACCATAAACGAGGCTAAGGTCCTGCTCTTGGAGTCTTTTATGTGGCACAGTACTCCTGCAGATCGGCGGCGTCACGTTACGTAGACCCGACGTTGCTTTAAATCTCATGTCTTGAGGCGGGCGGCAGACTTCACGCCGCGGCCTATGTGGTCCAGTTATCACTTAACGCCAGGTGAACCGTGAGCTATCGTCTATACATATAGTAAAAAAAGGGTGCGTGTACTTATGTACGCGCTTAAGAAGTTATACTTTATTTTTATTAAATTTATTTCTTTTTTTTTATTTAAATTTTCATCAATTTGAAAAATAATCGATAAACAACATCCTCAAACACGCATATTGGACATCCCTTTTCTTGACATCGTATAAATTCGGTAATTCTCGGTACGGTTCGGAAAGTTCACCTGCGGCTATATTCAGACTCGCCAAGTTACGTCGGTCGTATTGTAATGAGCGATTTAGTGGGCAACTTCATTCTGTTAATTTTGTGTCACGGTGCGCGCGCATCGTAAAATTTCACTCTCATTAATTTTTCATAACGCACCTAAAGAAGTATAACTTCAAAAACTACTTTAAGCATATTACGGTAGAATTAGGATCGTGGCGCATAAAATAAATCTATCACTGTTGCACTTTTAATGTTCTCTTCCAAAATCTTGTTTTTATGATTAAAAATTTATTGACACTTATTTCAAGCCCTGCTCATTCAATCGTCTTCGCCACCTTGCTTTTCTGTCATTTTATTTGTCATTCTCTTGCCCTTTCTTACCGTTAAAAACATTTAGTTAGATAACCAGGGCCGCATTTAGAGGTTTATGGAGCCTCGGGACAACAGAAGAGGGGGGGCGCCCGGCCCTAAATAATTTTCCAAATAAAATGAACATCTTTTTCAGTTGAGTTTTTTAATAAATAATTTATTGTGAAACCACGTAGGTTCTCTTAGTATTTAACGAACATACATAAATATAATCGGAGACAAGAATTATTTGAAATTGAGAATTTCGAAGAGAAAGATGTTTACCAGTGTTTACTTGTCGAAATTTGAAATATTTTTTCCCAGTCTCTATAGTGGGGGCCTTCCGTTTGTGGAGGCTCCAGGGCTCTTGCCCCGGTTGCCCTCCTCTAAATCCGACCCTGAAGATAACTTCAACAAAATACCAGTTTATAGAATTTAATTACGCGATAGTAGATGTAACGTCAATGGACGCGCGTGCACACGGGCGCGTGACGTCACTAGATGTAGTCGAGTGATGTGTGCTTAGTGCGAGTTTTTTAACGTTCTCGACAGCGTAAAAGTTAGCTCATATTTGTATGCAGTGAGATCGTTTGCGTACATTTGCCGCTAGGGGCGCTGTTCCAACTGCATCCAAAATTGGGTTAACTTTTACGCTATCGAGAACGTTATAAAACTCGCACTAAGCACACTGGTGTATGTTGCAGAGGGCGGAGGCGGCGGCGGCGCGGAACCGCTGCCCGCTGTGCGCGGCGGCGTGGCGGCTGCCGACCGCGCTGCCCGTGTCGGGGTCGGTACTCCGCCTTTAAGCCTAGTTCGGACTAGACGAGTATTTTAGTCGAGTTCCGAGTAATTTAGTGGTTTTTTATTTTGTTAACCTACCTAAGCTGTGAGTGTAAGCCCTGAGAGGCTATTTCAGCGTAACCTTAACTAGTAGGTGAGCTCACGGGACTCGAACCTGACGACGTTGCTAACACGAACCCTAGCACGAGCCGTGCTTCGCAGAATCTACCACCGGATCGGAAACGCGACCCACTGAGAAGATCCGGCGAGAAACTCAGTGGGCTGTGTCTGAGAGTTAATTTACTCGGCGAGCCCTTCGTCGCGAGCGACGGGTTCGACGAGAACGATGACCGGTGCTTGAGGTACCTAAAAGCACCGTTATTGGATCGGGAGGATCCGAAATGACGTATTTGGGGCGACGTCGACTGCTTTCCATTCTGAATTTAGTGGCTAAACTACTCTTTACTGCACAGAAATCGTTCGCATTACGGTCCAGTAGAGTACAAAAGTGAGTGGTGTTTTGCAAGATGAACAGGCTACAACGCAATAGAGTGAATAAACTGATTAAGCTAAGAAACTTCTGTGATTAAGAAAAATAAGTTATGGGTACAAAAATGGATCGATAGAAGAGTAAACTAGGAGCTACTAATTGTCTTCACAAGGGATTAGCATTGGAAGAGATCCCAAAGAATACTTCGATAGTTTGAGAATGTCCGAAAGTTGTATGAATTTTCTGTTAACGAAAATACACTCTCGAATTCAGCGTAAAGATACCCATTTGAGAAGTGCCACTAATGAACTCGACTAATCAACGGGTTCGGACTTGTTTAGTCAGTGAGCCAGTGAGCACGGACGCATGAATAAAAATAGAACAAAATGGATTGACTTGACTAAATTATTTACTAACCTACTCGATTAAATTTTTGGTGCTCAGACACATTTAGCCACTAAATTACTCGGTACTCGACTAAAATACTCGTCTAGTCCGAACTAGGCTTTACACATACTTATGTCCTAAAGATTATCCTTATACTACTCATTTGTCTCGCGAACACTTTCAGGTACATATTCTGCTACACGTGCATATCGCGGCACGTCCGCGCCCGCGGCTGCTGCCCGGTGACCTCACTGCCGGCCGCAGAGTCCTCTCTCGTCAGGGTATACTTAGACACACAATAAGATGCAACATTCTCTACCTCTACAAAAATTATATTAGTGGTTATGGATAAATTAATGTTAACGATAGATATTTATTAAACTGTTATTCTTTAATTGATTGTATTATTTTATTTTTTAAATACAAAAAAATGTTTAGAGCATTCCTCGCGGAGGAGAGGGACCGGCGTTAGTTTCCAGGTACAGTAAAAAACATGCCGTGTTCGTTTATATATATTTATTTCAGAAATATACACCTGAACATATTTAAAATATCATATACGATGCACTGAAATCCAACAGGTTTCCCGAGCATACCAACCGATGTAATTATTTCTAAGAAATGTCACGAATGTTGCAATGATTAATTTGGCACAGAATACTGTGTACTACTAGGATATAACTTTAACTTTAATCGTTGATCATTTCTTGTTCTATAACTGACTTGTTGTTACTTGACATTATATTAACATTTCTTCTTTTCTTCTTTTCGATATGACATGACATTTTTAGACATTTTTATTAATATTTCAACAAATAGTAGTGTTTTTTTTATTATTATTATTATTATTATTGTATTCCATTTTCGAGCCGATGAATTGCCAATGCTATGTACGCCATTGTTGTCACATGCATCAGGCCATAAATTAAATAGTTTAAATTTATTTTCAATGTTAGATGTTTGTGATGTGGCAGTACTTATTTAAATAAATAAATAAATAAATATGCTGACTTCATAGAGTAACAATAACTACTGGACCTCAAACAGTTCCCACCCGTCTTGTGCTGACGAACTTGTCCCATACAGCACATGTGTAACAGCTGTAAGTAATATATACTAAAGATGAGGCGTATTTACGCTACCAGGTTTTCACTTCGAAGTTCAACGCCCTGGTACGACCAAAAAATACTTGCAAGTATGAAAGTATATGTGCTGAAGTCGGATGCTCAAAAAACTAGAACATTCACATGAAAATACTGCACAGGAGAATGATTCATGTTTAAAATTTAATTTAATTTAAATTTATACTCATTGCATGTATGCGAGATGATATTAAAATTTATGGTTTTAAATCAGTACTATAAAATCACGAATTTTATCAAATTTCCACCTAATGCAGAGCTGCGATTTGTAAAATTTGAATTTCACAGTCACTGGAAGACCCTTATAAATAAGAAGGAAAAATTACATTTAATTTTCCTGAACAAAAAATTTAAAAAACCTCCAGAATTGTGCCCGACTCGAACTAGTTATTCATATATATATATTGATACTTAAAAATCTTTCATACTAACAAATATTTTAAAGTATTTTTAAAACCTGGTTTTTCCCCTGGTATTTTTCCGTATGTCTCATCACTAATATAATACGTTACATTGGATTATTGGTACTTTATATTTTAATAGTTCGACTAGCGTTCGTATCTACAAATGCGCACTGAATGAATACACCTCGTTACATCACGCTTCGCAGCATGAACCTGCAACCGAAGGTTAACACAGCGCCGCCTCAGTCGTAGTTCAAATCTCAAAAGCGCGGCCAATCGTGATTAGTGGGTTTTGGTTTAAAGTTAATTTTAATGTATCGGCAGCTTCGATCAACATTGTTGATCGAAGATCGGCAGTGTTGCCAGGTCGACCAGTGTGCTTGTGATAATTCGAATTCGCAAGGAGTTGAAACGTTTGGCAAACTTAGTTGCCGTAGAGTTAACTTTCACACCGTGGAGAATGTTAATACATTCGCACTAAGCACATCGTTAACAGCAACGATATGGTATAGTCAACGTCACATCGCTGTGTCGTGTACACTTGCGGCTCAATAACGTGGAGCAGGCGCGGCCTCACACGTCAGGGTGTAAATGGATGATCAATCGTTTGGAATTTATGAATGTACAAATGTGAGAAACTTAACATGTCACTAGCAACCGTAGGACATGACCTAGACACAACAAAAACACTTTTCAAAAAGCGTTGTTCAACTATGAATACTACTTTGTACATTTGCGTGTTACAAGTATTCTACGTCCGCAATAACATTGTGTAGGTAGTAGTGTGCGAGCTGCCTGCCGTCCAGCACCAGCGCGAGGCGCGGCGACGTGCCCCCCCGCAGCACGGGCACGGCGTCCCCCCACGCTCCCGCGCCCCCGCGCAGCCCCGCCACGTGCTCGCGGAGGGCGGTGCGGCTCGGGAAAGTCAACTCCCCGTACGCATAGCCGCCTGCAGCCGGTTCAACCACCTTCCAGTTTTGTGTGCTCTCAAAGTATCCGCCTTCACCCTGCAATCCAAAATAATTATATCGCACTAAGCAATAGAACTAAGATACTTAAAACCAAAAACCCTGTGCGACGGAGAGTGAGCAGGGTCGCGGTGCGGTTTACCTCGAAGGAGGAGACGGCATAGTGGTTGTTTTTCTTCGCCACAACGACGGAGATGACGCCCCCGCGCTGGTCGACGATGGGCGTGCCGGCGATGTACCGGTTCGCAGACTCGAAGGTCGGCGCGCACCGCCACTGCGCCAGGTGCCCGTCGCTTGACACTATCAGTATGCGCTTGGCTCTGTTTATGAAGACCTAAAAGATAACTTATTCAATTAAAATAAGGTTTGCCTTTATTTATCACTATAGATGGACAGTCTAGATTGTGGACCAACTTGTGTTAGTCAATCGAACCCTTAGTACCAGCAGACGTGACGGCCTCCATCCCCCTCAGAGGTGAAGTCGCATAGTGATCATGTGCACCGACATTGTGTGCACCCCCGCAGGTGCACAACGAGCAGTGCGCAGACACAGAGCCCGCCCTGCCTACAATAGTGCCAAATAACACGTTTTCCTGTTTTTATTGAACATTCAACCTTCATGTCGAATACTAAAATGAAATACGAAGGAAAACGCATTTCGACTTTCTTTTATTCCCTACCTATGCTGATAGCCTTGAGGCTATATCAGCTTCTCCTTGACGTGTAGGTGAGCTCACGGGGCTCAAACCGGGAGTGTTGCTAACACTGGTCCTAGCAAGAGCAGTGCTTCGCAGAATCTACCGCCGGATCGGAAATGCGACCCACTGAGAAGATCCGGTGAGAAACTCAGTGGGCTGCATTTCTGCATATTGCACTATTATTTCACTGTATCCGTGTTGTAATTTGATGTGGCCCTGCTACCAGCGGCCGTGTCTCCGACCATAATTCTTTATAGTAATTGGTGGGTCATGGTCGTGGGTTAGAAAAGCAGAATGGTGTTAGAGGATATTATTACTGACTGAAAACCGATGACTCTGGAGTCGTTTGGTCGCCGTGCCATATCATATGATTAGCAGTTAAATAATTTAAACAAATAACAAGTGCCCGGTCACACACTGTTGCCTGACCCCTAACTAAGATTAAGATTTATATACATTTATTGATATTAAGCATCTAAACAAATAACAAACAAACCTGTTTGTCACGCGAATGTTTGTTGAAAGTGCGAATCGAACCCACAATTCGTGGCCCAGCAGTAAGTAGCGCCAAATATTGCGACCCAAGTCATTTAGCTGGACCATTCTTTATTAGGACTTAGAGGAACCGCTCTCGAAACCAAATCAAAAACCAATAAGCCCTAGCTCCCTGCAAGAGGTCTCCAAAACTCTCGCATCCAAGGAACTTTTGTACCTGGAAGCTCTCAACTGAACCAGTATCAAACGAGATACAGTTTTATGCGCTGCACGTTTCCGGCTCATGAAATATGAAGTAGAAAGACATGAATTAAAAGATGATTATCTGTTGTTTGATACCATTGTAGTTCTGATACCGCAACATATTGCGGCTGCTGTACATTTGTGCCGTATTGGGTCCAGGAGCGATTCCTCTACATATTGCGGACAGAAATACATTCATAAACAACCTTCTCAGCAGTATTCTCGTCGAGTCTAACGTAGGCCAGTTCCTCGAGCGGTGCCAGCAGTTCGTCGGTGAACACGCCGCAGTAGTGGTGCGTGCTCTCCGCGCGTCGCTCCAGCTGCGAACAATATGCACGCATCAAACTATCTTTCCTCGTGCTGTTGAAACAATTATACAGATGATTTTGTGCAAAATCTGCCGCGACAGAGAAACGTGACAATTTCTGAAACGTTTACCGTCTCTTTTTTCCTACCTAAGCTGATGGCCTTGACAGGCTATATCAGTGTAGCCCTAAGTAGGAGAGCTCACGGGTTCAAACCTGACGATGTTGCTAACACTAACCCTAGCAAAAGCAGTGCTTCGCAGAATTTACCACCGGATCGGAATCGCGACCCACTGAGAAGATCAGCGGGCTGTGTCCATATTATAGTTTACTCGCCGAAGACTTACTTACTTCGACGAGAACGGTGACCGGTGCTTGAAGTACCTAAAAGCACCGTTAGTGGATCGAGAGGATCCGAAGTGACTTGTTTTGGGCGACGTCGACTGTTTACCATTCGATCCGAAGGATCGGGAATTAAACTCACCTACATCTCGACACAGACATGGCTGTACCTCTGGCATTGCTCATGTCTATGGTTGGTCGTAACTCCTTCAACCGGGTCGGAAACTAAACTGTCACTGTATCTAAAAAAATTACTTCGTACCTGAAGATGGTCTATAGGTTCCAGTAACCAATTAACACTAGACAAGACCAAGAACTTCTGCCCAACAATAGCAAAATATATGAACATGAGCAGGTCTGGTCGAGAGTGAACATTACGGAAACGTAAGTAATAACCTCTTCGGGCGGGCAGCAGTGTATCGGCAGTATGGACCCCACGCTCGCGTACTTCTTGCCGTTTCTCTCGTGTATTTCAGCAGGAATACTCATCGACTCCACTATGCCCTTGTAATTCTCGTTTAATACTGTGCGCTTAGACATTGCAGTTTTCTGTAAAATAAAATTATATAAACAGCTTTTTCATAGCCCGTCTAAGCACAACTACACTACACGATCGTTATGGACATGGGCAATACCAGCCACCAGTTTCTCGAAGGCCACTGTCGAACCGAAGCAAAAAAGGCAAAAAACATTAGTATGTACAAGACCTAATAGCATCTCTACTCTGTAAAACTTTTTATTTTTGTCTAGTGACTATTATCGATCTTTATCTTTACAGACATCAATAAAAAAATGGTGAAATATTCAGTTTTATTCATCACAATGTCAAATTAACAGAGGAAAATGGCTACAACCTAAAATGAAATTATTATAGTGTTATTGTTGGTTAGTTGTGGTTGAATGGGTAGGGAAAATAAGTCGTGGAACATCATTAATTGAGCGGACACTGGAATAATTAAATTAGGCGACGAAGAACCCACGAATCAACTGGAAATTTTGTGTTTTTACTTTTTGTTCTATTAACGCCATATATAATCAAGTATCTTCATTCAGGCTACGGTGCTCACCGGTGAGCCTTATCTTACTGAACCAGTCGAGCCATGAAGGTCACCCGTGAGCCTATCAATATATCTAAGCTAAACAGTAAAAGTCACTAATTTTTATGTTCCGTCCAAATTATCGTATTGTTACGCGCTGGGGTTCGGGATAAATAAAAATTCTACCGAATTACAAGTTAACTCTGTATATTAGCACTTAGAACACTTAAAACACTCAACAAACACTTTAAAACTCTCAATTCGCTTCTTCCACTCCGCTTCATATGATCCGTTCGCTGTTTCGCTTCAAATAGTTTCGATTACAAACTGTCATCTCTGCAACGCCTTCCAGCCGATACCACATCCCTAGAATTTTCGAGAATATTCCACACATTCCTAGTATTGTGTTTCCGCTATCTGACAACAGATGGCGTTGTGCTTCTCGGGCGTTCTAGATGCTACTAGATCCTTCGCTATTCGTTCGACTATTCGGCGATAGATGGCGTTACTCTTACCGGTGTAACAGTATTTTATGAATTTTAGAATGACAATCCCAAGTTGATAAAAATTACTTATTCCGTGATTTTGACTGATTCTTTGTTGATTCTATCATAAATAGATGAAATGCACCCTTTCGGTAAAAGTGCTTTACGCGTCCCTTGCACATTGAAGATACTAAGCATTTCCCCAAAGGACCGAAGTGCCAATCAATGTACCAAGATTTTTTTCAATTGAATAATGACGCGCGATAGAATAAAACACAAACACCCAATATACAAACAGGAAAATACTAATTAGATTAAACGTATTTCCAAGAAGATTAGGGCACCCAGTGCGAATGGAATATAACAAGTAACAAGAGCGTACCTTCTTCAACATTCGAAGATCCAACTCAACGATTCCGGTCATTTTGTTTACACATGTGTTATGTAAACATTTACAAAATACACAAATCTCTATCATAAACATTTACAAATCAACATTCAGCATATAGAAACGTCATTGACCGCTCCCTGATATTACGTAGATAACAAATAATTGATTGTTACATATCGGCTTATGGTTTGTTTATTCAATGTCAAATATGAATTGATTTCGTAACGGATTTCAAAACATGTGAATATCTTAATAAGATTATGGGAACCTAGAGTTTTCTAAAGTACCAACCTATCTACTGAAACAGACACTGAAGCGCACTGTGAGCCCGGATCAGCACTACTGCATTTCTTTTTATTGCTTAGATGAGTGGACGAGCTCACAGCCCATAGACATTTACAACTTAAACGCGCCACCCATCTTGAGATATAAGCTCTAAGGTCTCAGTATAGTTACAACGGCTAATAGTACCAACAAGCGTTATTTATCGATGGTCTAGTTTCAAAATTAAATAAATTATTATCATTGAATAGTGTGAATATTTCAAACTTTGGAATTTGTAAATGTAAAGAGAAATAACTTTTCGTGCAGCTACAAAAGCTACAACAGCTACAAAACAACTACAACTTTTAGTAGATAGCTAAATTAGTCAGACTTTCACGAAATTATATGAATTCCTTTTTTTCGGACACTATATTGAAACATCACTTATAGCAAAACTGAGATCAACCTAACGACACTTCATATTATGTTGAATCCGTCGATAGTTTATATTTTCAGAGCTTGCCAATGAATTACATATACAAACAAACAGAGAACCGATATGCTCGAAAAATATAACGGCCTACGGCAGTGGGGTAATCAAATTAGGATATCCGCCTCAAATCTACAACTACCTCAACCTTTTCAGTTTGAAGTTTGTAGATTCAATTAAAATTTAAATTTCAGAAAAATGATTTCTACTCAATTCCAAAAAAAAATTGGATAATGAAGGTAAAATTCACGTCTCTCAACGTTTCTTAGTAGGTAATTCGTAGGAAAGTTTTCACGGCATTGCGCACTATGTTTGCGTCATTTGAAATTATGATGACACATAGCACTGCCTTTGTTGTCAATTAATTTTGTGTTTATCTTACCTACCTTTTTAAACATTAATAATAATCGTAAAACACTGTTAGCAATAATTTAGATTTGAAAAGACCTCTCAAAATTTTAGCGAAGCCAACTTTGCTTTAATACCAAGCTATTTGATATTAAATTAAATCCAACTCACCTTAGAAAATAAATCGGAAAATCAACAAGCAGCGACGACCTCTCGCGAAGCGACACAGTACAAAATGATTTTATATTAAATCTTTTATCTTAACTATAAAACTGATTAACAGGGAAATTAAGATCGCGTTTCAAACATTTATTTAAAAAATTATTTTCTTATCAATTCATGTATTGGTGGTATTTATTGTATTTTAGATGATGTCGTGTGGCAAATTTTGAATATAAGATTTTAATGAGTGTTCCATTTGCGAACAAGACCGCTTGTTTTGCTCCGAGTAGTGTGCAAACTAGGCTGTTAGCCAAAGTATAGGATACGAGAATCGTTCTTCTTTTATAGGTCACTAGCTGCTACCTGCAGCTTCGCTCGCGTGGTCATGGAAAAGCGTCAGAGCAATTTCCCACCGTAACGAGATATTTTTTCGGGATGACAGCATAGCTTATACTCGTATATATAATCTTTCTGACTTAAACTATCATTTTTAAAAAAAATATCTCAATCCGGTGCTTCGTAGCGACGTGAAAGAATGGCAAACAAACATAATTTCACATTTATAATATTAGAAAAGATTAATGTAGGTAGTTATTACGGTGTAATTGATTTCTATTTTCAATTACATAAATACACGGTTGAATAACGTGTCCATTGAATGTATTCACAACTGTATTCACAACATTGAACCAAGAACTTAAATAAGACATACGGGAACACGATTGTGTCGCAATTTCTCTTAATTAAATTTAGTAATTAAACAAATATGTTTAATATGATGCCTATATTGTTAAATTTGTTTCAAAGTTCAATGGAAGTCAATCGTGAACACTTGTAAAGTTTCATTACAAAAAGTGGTACCCGCCTGCGGAATTCGAACACTAGTGCATCGCAAGATACGAATGCACGGGACGTCTTACCTTTTAGGCCACGATGACTTCTAAAGTCCTGTTAAGTGCCTGAACGTACCAGTTTTATTCTGCTCCACATTGAAACTTTGCTTAAAGAGGCATTTACGTACGACTATTATTTATCGTTAATCACTTGCACATTGACTAAGTAAAATTCAAAATATTTCAACTTGAAACTGTGGGTAGTAAAATAAATCTGGCTCGATCATAGGCCGTTAACTATTGTTCGACCTACTATAACATTAATAATATGGCTCCGCATTCAAACCTTGCCTGAATAAACATCTCAAATTGCATAAGAAGATAAGTTCATTAAACTCACCATATAAACATACTTATAGTGCGTAGATATATATTAATAAAGTAAATAACGCACCGGGTCATATTATGACTAACCATGTAAATTGATATAAGATATAAAAAATAAACTAGATAGGAGTAGAACTGGAATCCCACCAATCAGCGGAAAGCTATGGTCGACAGTGTGTGCAGTGTGCTTAGTGCGAGTTTTTTAACGTTCTCGATAGCGTGAAAGTTAGCTCATATTTGTATGGAATGGGATTGTGTACGTATGTTTGCCGCTAGGGGCGCTGTTCCAACTGTATACAAAATTGGGTTAACTCTTACGATATCGAGAACGTTAAGAAACTCGCACTAAGCACACAATACGATTGGGAACATGGACAGGGAACGAGAAATAGAATGATAGAACGATAAAGTGTCTGTGTATGTTGGAGATCGACTGAAATAAAAAATGAGGTGTCCATTTCGCTTCATTGGCGGAGCCGCTACGGTAATTGTGTAATGAGGGTAAAGCTCCAGACAACGAAGCTCATTTTCACTACAATGGCGTTGTCCCTGAGGCATTGTCTCGCATCCGAAGCTCCCACCCTTTAAACAGAGACTTATCATGTCACGCGTCACGGCAGACACGGGCGGGATGATTGTACCTACCCATGCGGGCTCACAGCGCGAACAACAGTATGTAACTATAAAATTAACACATTTTTGCGTAAATTACATATACGTACACATTTATGTAGAATAAATACTAAACGCCACTCAAGAGGATTTGAACCTCGGTATCAAGGCGGCATTCAATACAAGAACACCGGTCATCTTAAGTATTAAACCACGGAAACTTCATAAAACACCCTCAACTGAACAAAGTAGAAGAAGAGAACTCATAATAATATCCCCTACTGCGTATACGAAACTTTTCTGGATGGAACGGATCGAACTAATTGGTATTTGGCAGTGTATGAATGTTCTTTTATAAACGCCGAAGCCAATCGCTAAAATATTTGTTATACAAAGCTAACAAACTAAAGTATAAATAGCACGACAACTTTGTCACCGAGTGTACATAGGACGTCAGGGCCACTGAAGTCGAGGGAACTTACCGACCATAGACAAACGACGCCTTTCATTAACTTAATGAATATTATAATAGAAATCGATTAGAAATGTAGGACCATTCTTCTAACCCTTATGTCGGACGATTGCACTGTTCTGTCAAACTCTTATGAATAGTTAAAATACAATGCGACGCAACTCATAAGACGTTTACTACGAAATTTATCAAGAATGGATTCAAATACCAAATATTTTTAGAAATATTAAAATTTTATAATATTAGGACAGGAAGTAAGAATTGACATTATCACTCACATACAAATATTTAAATAACATTAAATGGTCAAGTGTTCAATCGATATTATTCGATATTCACGGAAACAATTGCATTGCGACTAATACGGCACTACACCCTACACCACAGATTGTAGAACGAGATAGTATAGGGTTCCTAGTGTGTGTGAATGTGTTATGTGATTATGTGTATTATTGTGCACTGAGCAAGTAATCATTATGTTATTGTGTAGTGTGTACTACTCATAATAAAGGTTTTGGTTATGTTCCGCGCAGACTAAGAACTGCCGAGTTTTTTTTTTCTACCTATGCTGATAGTGATAGCCTTGAGGGGCTATATCAGCTGTTCGTGGACGTGTTGACTCACGGGGCTCAAACCAGGAGTGTTGCTAACACTAGCCCTAGCAAGAGCAGTGCTTCGCAGAATCTACCACTGGATCGGAAACGCGACTCACTGAGGTCCGGCGAGAAACTCAGTGGGCTGTGTCTGTGGGTTAATTTACTCGTCGAGCCCTTCGTCGCAAGCGAAGGGTTGGCGGAGGGCGGTGACCGGTGCTTGTGGTACCTAAAAGCACCGTTAAGGGATCGGGAGGATCCGTAATGACGTTTGGGGCGCTAAGATATGAATACTGCCGCTGTATCGATTTACTTTACATAAGAAATGTGGACCTACCTATTGTTCAGAGCCGAGGAACGTATCAGCTGTAACAATGATAGCGGTAAGTGTGTGCCACCTCGCTCGCTTGTGCTATTGATAGACAGTATCTTGTTTATTCCGAAAATATTTACCTACTTGGGGACATTTGTTTTCGTCGTTAGGATTCTTTTTAGTTTACATTATATATAGTCATATACCAGTACTTTGTTGTGGTGAGAAAATAAACATTTATTAATAATTAAAATATATTTACAAAAAATTTTGTTATTACTATAACATTTGCAATTTATATAACATTGGCAAAATTCAGTCATTATTTGATGAATAACATTTTCTGTTATAAGATTCCGATGGCGGGTGGAGGTGGGCGGGTCTGCTTGCTCATCTGTAACTGTTATAAATGAATATAATGTCGTGGTCGGTGCCGCTGGTGAGGCGGGCTTGTTGCAGGCGGCGCGGCGCGGTGGCGCACAGGCGCGGGGAGAGCGCGGGGTCGCGGTACAGCAGCCGGCGCGCGGTGTGGCCCACGAGCAGCACGTAGTGGCCGCGGTAGTAGTTGCTGCCGAAGCAACGTCTGCCGGAACACCACCACTACATTATGAACACGGTCCAGAACAGAGTCTTCGTTAAGATATTTGAGTGTTTTTTTTATTGCTCAGATGGGTGGACGAGCTCACAGCCCACCTGGTGTTAAGTGGTTACTAGAGCCGATAGAAAACTACAACGTAAATGCGCCATCCACCTTGAGACATAAGTTCTAAGGTCTCAAGTATAGTTACAACGGCTGCCCCACCCTTCAAACCGAAACACATTACTGCTTCACTGCAGATATAAGCAGGATGGTGGCACCTACTCGCGCGGACTCTCCAACAGGTCCAACCACCAGTAAAAATGTTATTGTTATACTTGTTGACTCATTTGTTCTTCATTCATATATAGCACAGGACAAAACCTAAGTTTGGGCCGTTGAATGTGGAGCCCTTTTGTTATTCTAAAGTGCTACTTGTAATATACATTGCTCATCAATAAATTAATATTGTCAGTCTGGATGCGATTAGTATTACCTGAATTCTGCTTTCAGCTTATTGTGTTTGCACAAGTCACAAGACAACAGACCCGCATCCACAAGTACTATAGCCGGGCCCCGGTCAGTGAGGTGGGAGACCAGCTCCTTCATGGAGACGGATCGCTCCACAGCCTGTACACCCGAGTCGAGGGCGTCACGAAAACGACTGTAAACCCGTTGTGTATCCTGGATGACAAACGATAACAAATAACTGCTCCATGTCCTAAATTGTATAATTAAGAAAATAAATTTAAAAAAGTATAGGATTGTTTGACTAATTGTCATTTCTGCTGGTCATGCCTAATTTAAAAATATTACACTCAAACTTTTAAAACAATAACTAAGATACAAAAATATTGTTTAGAAGATAGTGGTGGTGAGGCATCTTACCAAGTGCATAATCCTATCGTAGTAACCATGTCTCCTGTAATCTTCATTAACACCAAGGAGTATCGTGTACATGCAATGTTTAATATGAAATCTAAGGACAGAGTATTATTCATTTGTTACATCTCACAGGTTTATTGCATTCATGCAAAGGTTACTGTGGTGGCTTAAAAATATAAATCAAATAATCTATATCTTATTTGTTAGTAATGGAGGAATTCAATTTTGGTTATGATCTGGTTATTAGGATCCATTGGGTCAGTAGAACATAACATATAATACAATACAGTATTTCACTATTGTTCCCATCTGTCCTAGCTCAAAGCCTATTGAGGGGTTAATGAAGAAATCTGAGACCATGATATAGGTAATACATATTTATGTTTGTTACTGCACTATGATTATAACACTCTAGCTAGCTTATGTTTGACTGTCTCCAGCTGTGTGACAATATCACAGTCATTTCAATGTGCAGTGAGTACATAAATAAATGAATCACTTCAATCGTCAACAAAATTTAGTTAACACGTTGACTGCCGTGTAGGTCACCGGTGCTCTACGCGGCGCACTGAAGTAACTATGTCGATTTCTCTCTTTGTTCTTCTTACTAAGGCGCCGGAATATCTAGTAGAGTCTGGGAAAGACGAATCCGAAGGAATTGACAAGGAATCGATTTCTAACAGACCTAAAATACTAAAACATACATTATCAAACAGAACAAGGCGAAGTTAGGCAATCCAGGCGCTTAGTAAAAGAAATCGACATAATTGCTTCAGTGCGCCGCGTAGGGCACCGGTGACCTGCATGGCAGTGAATGTGTTAATGCCTAGCAGCAGTAAGATTTGAATTACTTTATGAAATTAGTGATGGTAGAGTAAACTATGTTCAAACTGACCCATACCAAATAATAAACCAAAAAATATATCAATTAAATTGTAAGTTGGTTGCTCATTTACCAGCATTAACTTAACCTTTTCAATAAATAACACAGGTCAATAGTCCAAGTGGACTCTCCAAAGCCTTCATCTTCACAAATCTCATTGAACCGTGCCAGGAAATCTTCTCGTTGCTTATTAGAGAGTAGCATGATAATACATGATACTCCACAGTCCCAATAATAACGCTGCTGAAAATGTTCTACCTTGTGTTCAATATGTACAGATCCTGAAATATTTCATTTACATTATAAATCTGTATTAAATTATCACCCAAAGCTAAAGGGGGCATTTGCCCCTTATTTGCCTTTTATGAAATGTGTTTTGATGATACACAAGTTTCTGAAAAAAGTCAATATTTATCTAATTTTTTTAACAAATTCTTTTTTTTTTATTGCTTAGATGGATGGATGAGCTCACAGCCCACCTGGTGTTAAGTGGTTACTGGAGCCCATAGACATCTACGACGTAAAGGTGCCACCCACCTTGAGATATAAGTCCTAAGGTCTCAAGTATAGTTAGAGCCTCTCACTTCACCATGTTGAAGTGAAATTCAACATAATACTGAAATAGCTTAAGCTACAAATACTGCCTAAATGATTATATATTATATATATCTTAATATCTTTACTTTTTTTAAGGCTTAAATCAGTGGATAAGCTCTCAACTAGCCTGTTGTTAAATGACCACTGTAAGCCTTATAGGGTTATATTGATGTCAATAGACAAATTTTAAAATCCACCACCCACCCTGAGACCCGAGTCTCAGATTTACACTACGCTTCTAGTGGTAACACCAGATTTACTAACTCTACCATAATTAAGTTTCAATATCGAGTATTATGCTTTGTAGACCTGGCTAAATGTGTGGTTTTCGAAACTACATAGGGACTTTGTTTTCTCATGAAAAAATATTGTTAATATCACAGTATTTTAATTGAAACATTGATGTCGCTGTCCTTATTTCATAAAGCCACAGAGCAAAACGTAGCTTATTGTGTTAATTTTTAGTAAGTAATTTATTAAGGCTAATTGTTATACCAATAATATAATAGCAATGTACATCTCTTATTCCATATGCCAAGATTTTTCTTTTACAGAGTAAGCTTGGGGATTTTGGTGCTCCAATGCTTTTGGTGACCATAAGCAAATCCAATTAAACATAACTCTACAGCCTATTAAATATCAATAAGTAACAGTTCAAAGAAAAGGTGGTAAGACGTTTTGTGAGTCTGCACGGGTAAGTACCACCACCCTGCCTATCTCTGCCGTGAAGCAGTAATGCGTTTCGGTTTGAAGGGCGGGGCAGCCGTTGTAACTATACTGAGACCTTAGAACTCGTCTCAATGTGGGTGACGGCATTTACGTTGTAGATGTCTATGGGCTCCGGTAACCACTTTACACCATGTGGGTCGTGAGCTCATCCACCCATCTAAGCAATAAAAAAAAGGAAAAGTTCAAAAAGCATTAAATTTATGTGCCTTTCGAATCTGCGAACTTTTATTATATAGAGTTACTTGCATGTTATAGCTGGAGATAAGAATATTTATTTTAGGCGGCTCGATTAATATATAACTTTAAAATGATTGATATTAAAAAACTTACTTCTGCCTTCGTCAGACATATTCTTTAACATTTTTAGAGTAAATTAAAAACAAAATACAAACATTGTTTGTGTTTCTGCAACCACTTTTTATTTTGGAACTATGTTCACTTTTATTTGAAGATTTTTTATAGGGATTTTATGACCTGGTAACTAAGATCTTTAAGTCATGTCTTATTTTTATTTATATTCTTAATTTTATGAAAAATGATAATATGGAGTGAAATGAAATAAAATGAAGATGATTAATTTGAGACATTAATCAAACGGGATGAAATTAAACGAAATTAGATGAGATGAGATGATATGGGATGAAATATAATCTCAGTAAAATGGTGGTCATTTACTGAGACTTTTTCAGTGAACTTTTTGGAGGATCCCGAGAGGTTACGTTACGGCTTTGTTTCATTTTCCCACATTTATGCACTTTCACCTTCGATCAACAATAGTTACAATTGTTGATCGAAGACTTTCACAGATATTAAACAGTTAATAAACGACCGTTATTACCCATTTAAACCTTAAGAAACACTAAAAAGACAAAATAAAACAAATCACACAACTTTATTCCTCGCGTTTCCGCCAAAAAGTCCTAATCTATCTATCTATCTCTTAGGTTTATGGCGTTACTTTTTAGGTTTCGCCAATGTCAAGTGTATTTAATACTCTGCTTTCTATAGCGGGCTTCGTGAACGAGCAAGGTCACAGCATGGAGTTAATAATAACTCTATGGGTCACAGATATTCACTAATAACTATGTGAGTAGCTAAGGTGAATGAAGTTAGCCCCTCAAAAAAAATTTTTTTTCCTATTTTATACTTATTTTCTATTAATTCGTTTGTTCATCATTTGTTCATGATTGTTCACTGTTAATAATAGTTTGTTCTGCATTTATTTATTTATAAAAATTATTTAAAAATATACCTACAAGTTAGCCCCTCTAATGCAATTTTTAATATTTTTTAAACTTAATGACTCGTAAATATTCATTTTCGATTGTTCTTATATAAAACACGTTTGTTCTCTTTCGAAATTACTCGTTTTTTGTTTAATTTACTATTTTTATTAGTTGAATAAATGTATGCAAAATATGTGTACTGCGCATGCGTCAACTATAATGCCTAAACTTTCTACGCGGTTTTAATCGTGAAAAAAAAACAAATATAAATCCTGAAGGAGCAATTAATTGGTATACAGTTTAATTAAAAAAATTAAAAAATAAATAAATGAAATAATGTGCATTGGCGTTAAGTTAGACCAAATACATTTTTTCCATCCTCTTACCTATCGTATTAAAATGTTATTTTACTAATGTTAGGAAT